TTATGGCTGGTGAATGTTTTACACGGAGGTTTGACTCCTGTATGGCCCTGGCTGATTGGCCCGGTCACACACACATTTCCTGTGAAATAAAACTTAATGCATGAAGGGAAATGCATGCAATTGTTTTATGTCAACTTTGAGAGAGTGGTACGTATACTCCACCAAGCATCCATCTCTATTAGTGAGATGCATCCAGTATCTCTTTGACATTATTAAAAGACTGAATTCATCTGGAGTGATTCATTTTCGTTCATTCACACCTGCAGAGGCCAGACCTCCATCTGGAGTGTGTGAGCGAGTCCTCCATCTGACCTTCACCGTCCACCATCAAAATTTTAATCTAAGAGGGATCATATAAAGCCCAAACAGACCCACTGGACTCAGAGAAACAAACATCTTCCATTTGAGTTTGATAGAAGGTAAAAACATTTACTAGCAGACAGGAACCGTTTATAAGCTCTGTTCCGGCAGAGACTTTCACCCCAAACTCAAATGCTGTTTGGACATTCACTCAGTCCTACTATGAAACTTTCATAGATTGTATGATGTATGAAATGCCATAGAAGAACCATTTTTGGTTCCCCAAAGAACCTTTCAATGAACAGTTCTTAAAAGAACCATTTTTCTTAGTGTGAAGAACATTCTAACAATCTTCCAGTATAAAGAACCTTTTATGGAATGGAAAGGTTTCATGGATGTTAAAAGTTCTTCATGGAACCATAAATACCGATCAAGAACCTTTATTTTTAAGAGTGTAGCACTGAAATGGTCAATGAAATTAAACTTGAGGCTAGGTTTTTGTAAATAATTCATGTCAAACCTAAGCCACACAATCTCCGCCAATCAATTCCCACTGGATAAAATCCCTGGATAACTATCCTGATTCACTCAGAAGTACATCAAATGGGTTGCATATCCATAAACACACTACAAGCTGAGGGCCAAAACAGGAACAGCAGGTGAACCAGAAGGAAGACCTAACTAACACGGATTACACACTCTCAGAAAAAAGGTACAGATCTGTCAATGGGGCGTTATCCTAAGGTATAAAAGCTAAAAGGTACATCTTTGTACCTTATTTACCCCTAATGTGACATATTAGTATCTTAAAGGTACAGATTAGTACTTTAAAAGAACATATTAGTACCTTTAGAAAGACAGTTTGGTAGTGATGAGATAAACAAAGCTTTTCCAGACTTTGAATCAGTTGAACCAACTGGTTCGCAAAATGAATCACTTTTTTGACACGCTCAAAATGCCAAATGCTGATGGTCAGAACGATGTAAATGCAACAAAAACACCTTTTACAGACCAATTGCAAATGTTTTATTGAAAGTGCAACCTATTAAATTAACAACTCATCTAATATCATTAAATATGAAGTGTCTGCATAATATGCGTTATTTTATTCATTTGTAGGGCTTGTTTTGTTTGTTTCATGTAGAGCTTGGCTTATCAGGCCTAATTTTTTGTAATTAAAAAATGTCTGCTAATTTTTCCGAGATCAGGTAAAAATCATATGGACATGAGTTTATGGCTTCACAGAGATCACCCCTAGAGGCGAACCACTGAAATGTTTAAATATTTCGAAATAGTTATGACGCAACAAAGCCATGTTTACTGAAATCACGTGACTTTGGCAGCTCGATACGCGCTCTGAATCGCTGGTTCAAAACAAATGATTCGTAAAGGTTGCGAAGCTTCATGAAGTGATGTTTCGAAAGCAGTTTGGTACCTTGTTTTACGAACCACTGAAATACAGTTGTTTGGGTACCTTTTTTTCTGAGAGTGCATGTAAGAGAACATATATTTCTCCTAATTAATATGCATTAGGCATGGGCTGGTATGAGATTTTGATGATATGATAACCTTAAGCAAAAATATCACGGTTTCACTGTATCCCGGTATTGTGGTTACAGCTCTAACATGTGTTAATTTGAAATGTCTGGGTAAAAAAAAAAAAAAAAAACTGAACACAATATATTTTGAGCAACATACAGAATATTTGGAACAGTAGTATTTGTTTATTTTTTCTTTGATTTGTTTCTGAAATGTGGGCTAACATAGACGCATTTATGTAGATCGGGGGCACATTCCCTTCAGAAACAAAGGTAATCCACTTTGTTTCAAAGTGGAACAAACTTTCCACTTTGTTTCACTTCAGCAGCTCAGATGTCGGGAGTAAATGACGACTGCTATGGTCATTATTACATCCAACAACAGAACACCTCAATTGCTTAGAAGTCATTCTTGTCTACATCTGCTCCGGCGGTGAAACAATGGCGGACTGATGACAGTCACTCAGGGCGGGT